TTAAATCATAATTCATGACATACTACAGAGAAAAATAATTAAAATTAATTAGCACTCAGAATTTGGAATGGGAGCACTTAAATTTGCCCCAAGCCAGAGCCCTGGCAAGGGTCATAGAATTATGGCGATCCTACTGAGAAGTGATGAGACCTGAATTGTTAATATCTTTAATAGTTTCATTAACTCAGCTTCCACTCATTCAAGGGCACCAATTGTAGGGTTTCAGAGAGCACAAAAGGCACTGTGTAGTTTGTAAGACCTTTTCAGCTTGAAGGCAAAGAAAGGTAAAAGTTAATTGTAGTAAGAGAGTAGCATCAATCCACACACCTGTAAATAGCTTATTTGGGATAATGTCTTTTAGAACATTACATACTGCGATTATTTTACCACCCCTTAGCACACTTATATTCATGCAAAGTAGAAGTCTATAAATCTTAACTATGCTACTTTAATTGCACCATTTCAGTATCAAACTGATTCAGTCCTCATTAATTTAAAGTGCACACTCAATTCTTTATTTCATCATTAAGAATACAGAAAATGTACACATACACAAAAAAGGAAATATGGATCAAGAATCCTAATAGCCCTTAGGAATCTATTAAAGTTGCTAGAATTTATAAAAATGACTGAATAAAAAGAACAGAAAAGATTCTTATTCAAAAATAATAGTGGAATGCATGAATAAATGTGAGGATAAATCAAAAGTATTGCTATAAAGTCATAGAAACCTATTATTAAAATGTGGGTTTTTTTAAAAAAACTTTTTATTGTGAATTGAGTGAAGGTTTATAGTGTTGCTTTGCATTCAACAATTGAACACATCTCAATGATTTTAATCCCTTTCCTGTGCTTCCCCATTTACATCTTATATTTTACAAATGAACAAAGCAAAAATATTTTATGCACACATATAAAACAAATATATATATATATTCATTTACATGTCCTAAGGTCACATTCTACAATCCAGTCTCCTGCCCACAGGCACACAGATCTGTGTTGGAAGAAGTACAGCTAGAGTGCTCCTTGGAAGTCAGGATGGCCAGACTTCATCTCTCATACTTTGGACATATTGTCAGGAGGGACCAGTGCCTGGATAAGGATATCATGTTTGGTAAAGCGAAGGGTTGGAGAAAAAGAGGAAGACCACCAGTGAGATGGATTGGCACAGTGGCAGCAGCGATGGGCATAGCAACAATTGTGAGGATGGTCCAGGACCGGACAGTGTTTTGTTCTGTTTTGCAAAGAGTAGCTATGAGTTGGTACCTACTCGATGGCACCTAACAACAACAGGTCACTTATTCTTCTACCTGGGTAAGAAAAAATACATATATCCCCCTTCTCACTTCAATTTATTTTATACAAATGAAGCAGAAATTATGTTGTTACTGTTAAGTGCCATCAAGTCTTGGAGTCCTGGTGTAGCACTATAGGATAAGCACTGGATTACTAACTGCAAGATCAATGGTTCAAACTCACCATCTGCTTCTTGGAAACCCAATACAGGATAAGACAAAATATAAAAATACGAATTTTCACTTGTGTTTACTTTATACAGTTGAAGTGAAATGATGTTAACTATGGGCAAGGTAAAATTCCCTAATTACAGAGTTGAAAATTATTTTATTGTGCCATTCAGTTTTGTGAAAAACATACAAAATGATTTTTTTTTAGCTGAATAGAAACTATAAAAAAAAAAAAGTGTCTGTCCTAGGCTTCAAAATTTGAATGGCAATTTTAAAGACTATGAAGTACCCAGAATATGAGTAGAAATTGCCATGACTAAGTGACCGTGAAATTTTCCCCAATTTAGGAAGTATCAGAAATAGGACTTGATCCTGGGTGTCCTGCCATTGAGCACTTTTTTCATCGTTTGCCCAGCTGGGAAGCAGAATAGATGGAATAGCACTGTTGTGAAAATGGAGTCATATGCAATCCATGCTTCCAAATACCTTGTGCTGGGCCACAAATTAAAGAAACTTGTGGGAACCCAAACATCTGACAAAAGAGAAATGAGTTAACAGTGCCTGTCGTTTTGGGACCTTATGCACGGATAAACACATCACAGAGTCACCAGCACCATATGGGTAAAAGAATAGTACATACTGGATGTGTAAGGTATTTGCCAATTGTTCTCCAGAACACTTAATCAGGACTATAAGGGGTTTCTTTTAACACCTCAAAACTAAACTTTTACAGTGTCCACAGTGTGGTTACAGGTGCATGGACGTGCAGTGTCATGCAAGATCACAATACCCTTGGATAGTAATCCTCTGTATTTAATCCCAAATTTAGGTTTCAGCTCTTCAGTGAGCAACTCACTGTAAGGAGCATTGTTGATTGTTGAACTTTTGTCTTGGTAACTGTTCCAATATTGACCCTTTAGAATCCCAGAAAACTGTAAGCATCAATTTTCCAACTGGTGGTTGACTTTGGAATTTTTCTTTGCTGGTGAATGGGATGTTTCCATTCCATACTCTGCTGCTGACTCTGAGACTCGTAGTGATGAATCCATGTCTCATCACCAGTAATGATTTTTTTTTAAAGAAACTTAGCTTTCAGATGAAGCTTAAAATAGAAAGTGCTAAGCCCTGTGAAGTCCCTGTAGTAGCTATTGCATCATTACTAATCTTTTGACTCAATGTGTGCCAAAAGTCTTGTGCAAAGAGAAGCTAATTCAAAGAGCTGATCTTTCTATCATTTTAAGCAAGTGCAAAGCTAATGAAGATGATTTCTATGGAACAAACTGTAATTGGGGACCAAACTTGGATTTACCAATTATGATCCAGAGAGCAAGGTTACATCAAACAGTGGCTTCTGAGGGGATCTACTGGATCAGTTAAATTCAAGGCAGAAAGGTCAGCTTAGAACGTTATGGTGACAGTTTTTCAGAATTACAAGGGGCAACCTTAATAGATTTTCTCAAAGGAAACAAAATGATCCTGGGAGCTTATTATGAAAATGTTTTAAGAAAACTACTGTTGTGAGAAAAACACCAAGGAAGTTACACTAAGGAATTTTTTCTATCATGACAATGAACCTGCTCATTCTTCAAGTGTGGTGGTGGTTATGTGCTGTGGAGTTGGTTCCAACTCATAGTGACCTTGTATAGGTTTCTGAGGCTGTCAGTCTTTACAGGAAGAGAAAGCCTCCTCTTTCTGCTACAGAACCACTGGTAGTTTCAAACTACTGACCTTGAGATTAGCAGCATGATTTGTAACCACTACACTACCAGATCTCCTTTCTTCAAGGGTAGTAGGGTTGTTATATGAGGATTTCCTTACCCGATGTACTCTAAAGTAGAGTTGTTATATGAGGAAACCTTACCCGATGTACTCTAAAGCCTGGATCTTGCCCCTTCAGACTTCTTTTGTTTCACAAAGTCAAGGAACATTTAAAAGGTACAGGATTTGTATCCTTCAGGGATGCCAAAACCACCACTGATGTGGGTAAATCACAGTGCAGAATTTTTCAGGGAAAAGTTGTTCTTGTTGCTGTGTGCTTTTGAGTTGTTTCTGACTCA